GGGAATATAAACTTAACTCCTCTTAAGAAAACAAATAACAATACAAGAAAATAGGAACGACGCAGTGCCCTGGGGAGTTTCTGCCAAGGGTTTTATGTTTGTTTATTTCAATTGTACCCTAGGCGTATGCGATTCCGGTATATTGCGAGCAGGTGCGGGTGGCGGCCCTTTGAATGGTCTTAGGCTGCGGCGAACGGGCACCACTTTCGTGCTCAAAATATCACTTTGACATTCAAAGCAACCTTGTTCAATTATATGAGAAAATCACAAGAAGCAAGAAATTAGCTACCAAATAATAAAATTGGTAAAAACTAAGTCGATTTAATTAAGTAGCTAATGCTAATGCTTGGAGATCTCATAAAAGGAAGATAACGATTAGTTATACCATGAGGAAGTAGTCCACAAGTTGCTTGGAAATCCCCCATCAGAAGCAACACTAGTGTTGTAATTGCCACCAGCTTTGCTGAAGAACCATTCATCTTCTGAAGCAGAAACAATAACTTCGAAAATCCTTTCACCACAACGTGGAGATGAATGATAGTGCAAAGGGAAAGCAAGGTTTATAGACTTTAGCTTGCGGGGGTTTGGACAATAATTATATGCTTCTATTTCTTTCTTCTTCTTTTTTTTGTCAATATATGCTTATGTTTCTAATTGGACTGTCAAAGGGAGGACCTTTGAGTTGTCCGCTGAAGTAGAATAAATAGCAAAATGAATCGAAGAGGAAATGGACCGTTGAAAGATAAAAGGACAGTGGAATTTGAATATTCGAGCTCCGATTTGGGCCCGTGATAACTTTTTGGAAAAAAAATGGCGCCACGAGTCCAACACATTGCTTCGGCTTTGATGTATGATGGAATTTGGCCGTCCAGGGTCATTTTAGCCTCCAAAATAACGTTTAAAGTTTTGGAATAAAAATCGGACTCTTCGTTTGTAGTTCGATTAATGTTTAACTAATATTGTTGTAATTATTAGAAGTCATTTGAGTTGTTCCAAACATTTGTAATCTTTATTTAAGTCATTTGGATGTATCAATGACAATCATTCAAGAATTAATCAAACAAAAACCCTTTGGGATTTCTCTTAATTTTCTGATGGATTCTAGATTTTGTTCTGCAATGGATTACATTGATAACCATTTCAATCACTTTATGCTGCGTCATCCACTCTTTTTACTTATTCTCTACCATACAAAAGATTCCTCATTTGTTCATTGAAAATAGTGTAATTTTAAACATGTAGACAATTTTTTATTAAACTTTAACATCACCACAATTTAGTACAATCACCCATGTGTAGTGTGACAAGTAACTTCGCGTAAGACTCCTCAATAGGAGAGTCGTTTTTTACCAATATGTCATTTGCATTAGGTGCCTAATTTTTTCTTGGTTAATTATCTACGAGTAAAGTCTTTTCTTAGTTAATTATCTATGAGAATAAAGTGAGGAAAAAAAAAAAAAAAAGTTGCTCATATATAGGACTCCATTTTCTGATCGATTCGGCCCCCAAATTTCATGACCCCAGCGGCGGTGCTGGAACAAATTGCTTCCTTAATTTATTTTTTATGGGTGAAGGTGGAGATGAATGATAGTGCAAAGGGAAAGCAAAGATTTATAGACTTTGATTTGACTTTGATCCGCCTATGAACCTTGGTTTACGCTTTACGTATTTTATTCTTTTAAGATTTCTTGAGTCACTCTAACTTACTTGTAGGGGTTTGGATAAGAGTTTCTAATTGGACTTTCAAAAGGTTGACGACAAGTCTTTTACCGCGGAATCATGAATAATGGGTTCCGGCTCTGATGATCATTTTCTTCCACCGCGAACTCGTGGATAATGGGTTCCAACTCTTATGATCATTTTCATCAGGAAAATTTTACTTGAATCCATATAATCTCTCTTTACATCTAACTTTTTATTTAAACTATCAATATCTTTTTAAACCAAATTTACTACATAAACTACCCTCACAAACCCAATTCAATATGTAAATTATCTTTATACCCATATCAAGTTAGAATTTGTGATAACTTATTCTCTTACAGAATAACCAAACCAATATGATTTAGATTCTGATTTATACATTTCCTAATTTTGGTTTTTACTGAGTTTGATTTCGAGACTTAAAGGTCAGAGGCTACTTGCAGTTTTTCTTTAATCTTGTTATATTTTGCACTTGTTAGAAAATCATCAGTTGCTATTTTGTTTGACAGGTTTATATATACATGTTTAGGTATGGTAATTGATGTCTGCCTCAGCACCCTTTATGGTCATATTGTTGCCAATTCCATCAGCAATTTTACTCTCTTCATTGTATCATTTTTGGTGATTACGACTTTTCTATTGACATTCGGCTTTAAATCTTTGTTACATTGTTCGAAAAAAACTTGGCCAGTGATTTTCACGCTCAATTGAATCTCTTGCACTTCTCTTTTTGAGTGCAAAACACTTAAAATGAGTGTCCAAAATTGCTATCCAAAAGTTTATGTTTTTTTCCTTTGACTTGTTACCACTTTTTAGAAATAACCCATAATTTTTCTGTAGGTGCCTATGCTCTTTGCCATTTGAATTTAGTTATATGAATATTTACATAAATATCATGCTATCTGGTTTTGTTCTTGACCAATTTTAACTAGTACATAATCTCCATCTTCTGTCTTCTTTGCCTTGACGTTGGCGTGATTGCCTCAGTTTTCTGTAGGATGGATTGGGAAGTGGTACGTGCCTTCATGGACTTGTGATTTTTATGCTAGGCATTTAGTCACAGATCTAATTTCTTTGTCTCTTTTTAAGTTTCGTAGAAGAAGGATTGGTGAAAGTATTGGGTGTGGGTTTATTGATAAAATTTAGTTTTATTGTTAATTACATCTCGTACTTTATAGTAATTATGTAATAGGTTAAAAAGGACACCTCATATTTAAAATTTAAGTTGAGTGTAGAATGATGTTATATGGGTTCAAATAAAATTTCTCTTTTCATAATTACCTGATTAGTCTAATTCGGAATTGTGGATAATGGGTTATGGCTCCTATGATCATTTTTATAATTCCCTTATTAGTTTAATCCAGAATCGTGGATAATGAGTTCTGGCTCCTATGATCATTTTCATATTTCCTTGATTAGTTTTATTCGGAATGGGATCATTGATAATGGGTTCTAACTCCTATGATCATTTACTTAATTTCCTGATTAGTTTAATTCGGAATCGTGGATAATGATTTCTGGCTCCTATGATCATTTTCATAATTCCTCCCTGATTAGTTTAATTATTCCAGCTCTTACATGTTTTTTCTGTTAATGCAATTGTTTCAATATATTATGGATTGCGATGTATGCTCAAATATGTGTTGGAACTAATATTGATACGAGATCATTGGATTCCTTGTGAAATATGCAACGATAAATAATGAATTTAGAAAATTAATTATGGATTGGAAGAAGAAAGGTTGCCAAAAGTTTTATTTGGAAATTATACACAAACATCACATCAAAAGTTGGAAGCTTCGGGTTCTCTTTCGAGTGAGAGTCTTTCTCTCTTTACGAGAGTATTTCTCACATCTTCGTGTGAGGCCTCCAAATTTGAGCAGAACAGGTGGCGCCGACCCTAGTTTCGGTTAGGGTCGATCACCGTTCTCCCCTTTTTTTCCTTCTTTTCATTTTTCCTTACTTCTACAATTTTTTAGCCTTGATTGTTATACCGATTTTAGAAAGAAAATATATTTGTGAGGAGTATAGAATAAGATTATTAGAATGCTAATAACAATTTTCTTATAATATTAGTACGATAATTAGTGTTAAATTGTGAAGTGTCAGATAATCCATAGAGAGTCGCTAGCATTTTTCTTAACACGCACTCTATTATAGACTAGTTTTAGTCATGAATATGAAGAGCTAGAATTTAACATACCCATATCCCTTCATATGATTAAGTTTGGTATTTGCGGCTAAAATTGAAGTTTTCGCGGACAAGCGCTTCAAGATCTTAATTACGTAGTGTTTATTGCTGCCCAACACAGACGATATTTAGGGATAATCTATATTCTGACAAATTGAAATGACAGATTCATGAGCAACTGTAGTCTGTTCAGTGTTATTTGTGACCAAAATTGTACTCGTGGCTGTAGGGTTTACCAGTAAAGATCATTATATAAAGACCCCCGCACCTCTCCAACCCCAACCCCCAACCCTAAACATGTTTATTAAGAGGAGCCAAGAGTACGAAATTATTGTCACTTAGTACTACAGTTTAGTAGTATTCTTTTTCACTTATTAGTAAGAGATTTTAGGTTTGATTATCGACAAAGGATAAATTAAACTACATTATTGTTACCCCATTGTGAGGTTAGCCCATCTACTCCCCCTAAATGGGTCCTTTAATGGTTTCCAAGCTTGGTATGCCGGACGAACCCTATGAAAGCAGACAAGTCATAAAGAAAAATATCTAAGAATGAGAAATGTTAAGGACTTTTCAAAAGTTGTACTCTTCGTGGACTCTATGTCACGATACAATTTAACATTAATTATCCGAGTCAACATTTTAAAACATTGTGTAAAAAACATGAGATGACAGAAAGTTTATGACTAATCTTACTTTTAAAAGAGTCTCGTTAACACTTCTCTATAACAATTTCAAGGGGCACGTTCCAAATTAAATATGCATTTTGATATAGGCACCTGAACTTTATTTTTTCACATTAGATTCTCGTTAATTATGAACGAGAGGCATCAATGCCTGTTTGAAACGGTCTAATGCGGAGAAAATGGTGTTTAAATTTGTAACACAATTTATGGGGGAGGGAAAAGGTTTGGAAAACCATCTTCTTAGATTATATTTTGTAAACCGCATAATAAGACAATTAATGATTGGAATCAATTTTTAATGATTTAAAAAAAGAACCAAGCACAAAGTAACAAAAGAAATCAATAAAAAAATAAAAATAAATAAAGAGTAATTTTGGTAGTACATACTGTCATTATCATTCATCTCCATCCTCGTCCCATATCAATTAAAATCATGTTTTATTTTTATTGTATTGAAATTTTATATTAAATGTGATTTTACAAAGCTTAACCATCACAAATTTGCATCTGCTACCATCTCAGAGTCGCATCAAGCTGCATAAGCTATCAACACATTTGTAGAACACCATATGGCTAAGTTCAAATACCATCGAAGGAGAGACAAGAAAACAAAAACTTCGAAGAGAACTAAGAAGTTGAGACATCAGCTTCTTCATCATCTCTTCCGCTGCAGGCTGCTTCGGTACAAAGCTCCCACGAAGTCACATCCTGAAGCTTTCTAAGAAATGGTCTACAAGACCACAAGACCACGACTGGCTTGAAGGAAATGCAAACAAGGATCAAACTGCAAAGCATATATACCGTATGACATAAGCTCTAACCCATAAATATTGCTATATTTCACTTCTATATGCAAATGCAAAACACAGTTGGTAGATCTCTATGGCTAGTTCAAATACCATTGAAGTGGAGATGGAAGAAAACAGAGACTCTCAAGACAATGAAGAAGAAACATCAGCTTCTTCTTCATGTATTCCATAAAAAATATGTTGTAGAGATTTACCTGATTCTCTTTACCACTGCTTGATATATTGTTCCATCTTCCCCGAGAACCACTGGATTTCCAAAGGGAAACTTATTCGGTTACTAGTGGCTGAAGGACTGGTTCAAGAGAAAGCAGGGCAGCTTATGGAGGAAGTAGCAGAAGAAAATATAAATGAACTGATCAACCAGGGCTTGCTGTAAGTATATGATGACCGCCCTTACTCAGGAACTAAATTGCAGGTCCCCAATCCTCTTCGAGAATTCTGTCTTCACCAAATGGAGACGTTACTTGAATACTCCAACTAGAATTCTGTCTTCATCTCTTCGAGAATTCTGTCTTCACCAACTAGAATACTCAGATTCTATGAATATCCTCCACTTGCACTGTTGCGTGCGGGCTGAAGACGTTACCTGAAGGTTTGCAGTTTCTCACTACACTTGAGCAGTTAGACTTGCTGCCTCTGATGAATGATCATGCAGAACGATTGACACCTGATGGGGGAGAGGAAAACTACAAAATTAGGCACATTCCACATATCATTTATTACCATATCAACGGCGCAACAAATTGCTGCCACTAAGGAAGTATAAGGATCTAATAAAGTTTGGAGACGTTCGGATGGAGAGGAGCCAATGCGGGTGAACAGATAATTTTTAAGCTATCTGATATATTCAGGATCACATTTGTGACAATGCAAAGCTGTAATAGTTAGGGTTGTTTCCATATACAAGTAGTTGGCCCTCAAATATTATGATTGACTCCATACACACTTTTCTTTCTTTGTACACCTCTATACACACTTTCAATTCCAGTAAAATATCACAAATAGAATAAAATCCACTGCTACAGACAGTTGCATTTGACAATACATCGTCTTTATAGCTTAATAATTACAATATTATATCCTTCAGTTTATCATCTTCATATCTTAATAGTTGCCTCTGGCCTTCTTTATGCATCACTAGAGAGCTGCTTATAAGATCAGAAGGTAAAACAAGCAAAACCAATCCGAGATTTTATGGCATTCGATTAACGCAGAAAGTAAGAGCCTTGTCAAATTTCCGCACTTATAAAAAATATTCTGTTCCTAGTACAGATAGCTTGTTTTGTCACTAATTTTAAATCCTACTACAAGGACTATTTTGATCAAACAAAAATTCACTACCTTTAATCCAGCTGAGCCCGGGCATTTTCATCAGTTTTCCTTCTGTTATGGAATCCCTCAACTTCTTTGCATCATCCCACCTCCCACCACCAGCATACATATTCGAAAGCATGACTCTGTAAGCACTTTTCTCTGAATTACTTTCAAAGAGCCTTTGGGCTACAATTTCTGCCAGCTCCAAATTTCCACATACATCACAGCACAATAAAAGGGCTCCCCATATGCCGCTGTCCAGTGGCTCAGGCAAGGACAAGATTAGATAGTAAGCCTCTTCCAATCTTCCTTCCATCCCAAGAAGTTTCACCATATGAACATAATGCTCCGTTCTAGCTTGAATGCAAAACTCATCTTTCATTCTTCTCAAAACTTCCCGGCCATCTTCGACAAGGCCAGCATGGCAGCATGCACAAAGGAGAGCAGAAAATGTAGACTCATCAGGTTTCAATCCGTTTCCGAGTATCTCATCAAACATTCTAAAGGCCTCGGAGGCAAGTCCATGCAAACCAAGACCCAATATTAAAGAATTGTACGAAACAATATTCTTCTCTGGCATGATCTCAAAAACACGAGTACCCATCCCCAAGAAGCCGCACTTTGAATACATGGCTATAAGTGCAGAGGAAATCATGACATCCGATTCGATTCCATGTCGAAGAACATAAGCATGTATCTCACAACCAAGCCCTACATGCGCCATCTGAGCAGCAGCAGCCAACACACTGGCAGTCAAAACCGAATCCGGCTTCTTACCTTCCATGTTCAAATTCTTGAAAAAGAACAATGCCTTGTCATAATCTCCCGACTGCGAAAACCCAGTGATCAAAGCAGACCATGTAACTAAATCTGGCTCGAACAAACCACTAAAAACTCTATGTGCAGAATTCATAGACATACATCTCGAATACATGCTCACAAGTACACTGCTCACATGAGCATTAGAATCTAAATTCCATTTCAAGCAAAGACCATGTATTCCTTCTCCAATGCTTATCAAGCTCGAATCCGCTAAACCTGAAAGCAACCCAACAATTGTGTATCCATCCGGCACCATCTCCATGTTTCTCATCTCACTAAACAGCTGCAAACCTGTATCCCAAAACCCGCCACTTCCATAACCCGAAATCATCGAATTCCATAAAACCATATCCGGCTGTCGAATCCCATTAAACACCCTGCTTGCTTCATCAACAAGGCTGAGTCTTGAGTAAGCTGAAACAAGTGCACTGCTACAAATCGAGTCCAATCCCAACCCTGCAACCATTACCCCACAATGCACAAACTTCAGTCCATCCAGATCAAAACTATCAGCGCAGGCACGTACAATGCAAGCATAAGTGAAGTTATCCGGTTTGATTTCAGTTCTACGCATCTCAGCAAACAGAGAAAATGCATCTTCAAATCTGCGTGCTTGAGCGTGGGCTCGAATGATGGAGTTCCAAAGGTAGACACTCCGGTGGGAACTTTCGTCGAACACTTGACGTGCAGAGCGAAGGTCTCCGTTGATTGCATAGAATCTGAGTAATCTGGTTGCGTAAAAAGGGTCGTGGGGGAGATGGGTTTTGAGAAACAGAGCATGCAATTGGTTGGTTCTTGATAGCGATTGGTAAACTTTGGAGAGGCAGAGGCATGGCCCCTGCATTCGAAAAATAAGTTTACTTGCAGAGGGCTCTGGCAACTTGCGAATAAGAAGAAGGCGGTTGTGGCCCTACCTTTTCATTTTATAAAACCGAACGGTAGCGTTTCACTCCTCCAATAGTTTTCAGTATTTGATCTTGAGTTTTCACTTTTCGGTTTTTATTTTCATTTTTAGTAAATTGAAAACCGAAAGTAGTTAACAAATAAGGTTTCAGTTTTCATAAAAATAAAAATTAAAAGAATAAAAACAAAATAATCATCAAACAGCCCTTAATATCGTTGAATTCAACATTTCCTACGTTTCACTCCTCATTTATAATTTTACACCAAATTTCATATATGACTAATAGATATAAAAAAAACCCGACCGTATCACATTCATTTACTTTGGCTCTAGTGGCTTTGTAGAGATTAAGACTCCAAAGCCAAATGGAAACACTAATAATGCACATCCAGGTATTATATACGTAGCCAAATTTTCTCCTCCGATTAATATAAAAAATTAAAAATCCACGTGACATTACTCAGGCGGAGTAGCGGAATGCTTGAACGGTGACGGAGGTGATATAAATAAATTGTATTTAAAACCGATTCTTAGATGACTATTTAAAACAAGATTTGAAATTGTGAAGAAGCATAAAATAAAAGAATTGAAATTGGATTTAGTAAAAACTTGGCAACAAAGAGAAAACTAAATAGTTTTGAAGAAAAAATCAATCATATGCAATTCTACCAATTACATATGAGTTGACACTTGCAAACTATGAAGGCTAGGTTTTTCTAATGCATATTTTACTTGTGACATTCAAGCTAGAATGCATATCAAACATGCAATATGAATGTGATATTCATATCAGATATGAGCATGCAAGACTCATTAAGCTTTGTGATTTTTTTTTTTTTTTGATGTAACGACCTGTGCCTAATTTTTCATGTAATTTTCTCCCCGAGTGTGTAAATTGACGTTTATGTCCTTTCTAGCAAAGTGGAAACTGGCATGGATGTAGTTATTCAGCTTTAAATTATTTTTCTCATTATCGTAATTAAATAGTACTCGTTGTTACGAGTGTGTGAGCGCGAGTTAGACTTGAATCGAACTTGTAACGAAAAAGTTACGTTTAGTTAAAGTGCGTTAACCACATGTAGATTTGTACACATGCGTGTTAATTATTTAGTGTTTGAGAACCACAGTTTTTGATAAGGCGCGTTAGATTTTAATCTTCGGCAACATAGATAGATGGAATTGATTAGCGATTATGACTGCATTATTGAATATCACCCTGGTCGTACAAATACTGTAGCAGATGCTCTCAATAGGAAATCTCACGGTGGACTCATTGCTCTTTATGCATGTCGTGTTCCTATTCTCACCGACCTAAGATCTACTGGAGCCACTTTAGGAGTGGATAGGAGTGGATCACCAGGGAGCCCTACTTGCCAGCTTTCAAGTCAAACTAGTTTTGTTAGATTGCGTCCTCGAGGCTTAAATGAATGACTCAGAATCCCAGGAGTTAAAGCAAGCAATGTTGAACGACAATAGGGGAGATCTCAGGATTCGAAGGCTTGATGGTATGCTCATGCAAGGCAATCGAATGTATGTACTGAAGGTAGAAGAACTGAAGAAAGAAATACTCGATGAGGTGCATATCTCAACTTACGTGATGCATCCCGGGAGTACTAAAATGTATCATACTATTTGACCTTTCTACTAGCCAGGAATGAAGAGAAAAATTACGGAGTACGTGAGTCGTTGTTCGGTCTGTTAGCAGGTCAAAGTAGAAAGAAAGAAACCTTTTGGGTTGATACAACCACTTCCCATACCTCAGTGGAAATGGGAAGATATCACCATGGATTTCGTGTACAAGCTACCTCGTCGCGAAATGGCTATGACGGTATCTAGGTGATTGTAGATCGGCTTACCAAGTCAGCGCACTTCCTACCTGTTTGTGAGAACTACCCGTTGAATCGGTTGGCCAAACTTTTCGTCTCTAAAATTGTCAAGTATCTTGGTGTTCCAGTTAGTATTATTTCTGATCAAGACCCCATATTTACTTCGAAAATTTGGGTAGCTTTTCAAGAAGCTATAGGTTCAAAATTACTCTACAAGACCGCCTATCATCCTTAGATTGATGGACTTCAAAAAGAACAATTAAGAGACTAGAAGACATGCTGAGATCTTTAGTACTATAGTTCGGAGACGCATGGTACAAGCGCTTACCTTTAATAGAATTCGCCTACAACAGCAGCTTTCACTCCAGCATTGGTATGTCACCAACTGAGGCGCTTTATGGGAAACCTTGTCGTACATTGTTGTGAAGGTCCGAGGTAGACGAAAGAGTTTTGGTAAGCCCTGAAATCGTGGATGAGACGACACAGAATATTCAAGTGATAAAGGCTAATATGAAAGCAGCACAAGATCGACAGAAGAGTATAGCTGACAGACATTCGATAAACAGAGTATATAAGGTTGGAGATTGGGTATTCTTAAAGTTGTCACCCTGGAAAGGCTTTGTATGTTTTGGGAAGAAAGGAAAGCTAAGTCCTCGTTAAATCAGACATTATCAGATTATTGAGCGAGTTAGTAAAGCTGCTTACCGACTTGATCTACTTCTAGAATTGTCAATAGTGAATAATGTGTTCCACGTGTCCATGTTTCGAAGATACGTCTATGATCCGTCACATGTGATTCCTCCTTAGCCGTTAGAGATTAACCCATATTTGACTTATGATGAGGTTCCAGTGACGATTCTTGACTAGAAAGACAAAGTTCTCAGGAACAAAACCATTCGTATGGTGAAAGTCTTATTGAGAAACTACTCCGTTGAGAAAGCTACCTGGGAGATAGAGTAGCGTATGCAAGATCTTTGTCCACATCTATTATTTAATTATGATCTTTAGTAGTGTTGAAATTTCGGGGACGAAATTTTCTTAAGGGGGGTAGATTGTGATAACCCATCCCTAATTTTCCATGTAATTTTCTCCCTGAGTGTGTAAATTGAAGTTTATGCCCTTTCTGGCAAAGTGGAAACTGACATGAATGTAGTTATTCGGCTTTAAATTATTTTTCTCGTTATCGTAATTAAATAGTACTCGTTGTTACGAGTGAGCGAGCGCGTGTTCAACCCGAATCGGGCCTGTAACGAAAAAGTTACATTTAGTTAAAGTGTGTTAACAACGGGTAGATTTGTACACGTGCGTGTTAATTATTCAGTGTTTGAAAGCCACTGTTTTTTTTAAAGGCGCGTTAGATTTCGTCAAATTGTACAAATCTTGTCCCCTTTTCTCTTTAAAATCTGTCCCGAGCCCTACTCTACCTCACCACCAATCATATCATTTTCCCACATCTTCTCACCCAATCAGACATCTCTCTCTTATTTCTGTCCAATCAGAACACTTCTCTCTCTCTTTCTCTCTCTCTCTCTCTCCTTCTTCTCTCCTCACCCGCCACTATCTACTTTAGTTTAAATAAGTGTTAGCTTTGGTTTGAATTTATCCATATTTTTATGCTTCACTTTCCTTTTTGGTTACGTCACATTCGGGTGACGACCAGGATGCCTTGGCTTCAGCGGGGTGTGTTCTTTGAAAATCATGCAACAATTACGACGTGACATTTGCCTTAAGTGAAATTACAATTATCAATCACAAGAAACCCTACTCAATTTCAGGATGACATTTCAACAGAAGTTGCATCAAATTACTTGTCTAACCATCCTGATGGTGATCAAACATTAAGACATATATATAGTTTAAACACAATGATTAATAATTCAAAGAAATATGCATAAACAAATTGAAAATAAACTACATATTCATACTAAGGTTCGTGGACTCGTCCTAACAAAAGGAATCAGTTACGCATATTTACAATTGAAAAGCAAAAATATTATTAAGAAGAAAAGATAGAAAACACCCTTGTAACAAACAGTCAAAAGCTCCTAAATCGAGATCTCCAACTCTAAAAACATTATGGCCGTAGAAAAAGACCCCGCTAAATATATATAGTGTGCACAAATTATCTAAATAAGGTCTCCCAACAAATTTAGAAACCCATTTAAAATAATAGATTAGGAAATACAATTCTATCCTAACTTGGACAATATGAGCAACCAAATATTCAACACGTTTCCTAGTCGAATCATCTAAAATGGGGTTTGCCGGGTGGCGTTGGAAAGATAAAAATGTCCTTTACATTTTATAAAAAGGACTTTCCTAAAAAAAGGTCATCTTGAATTACTTATGGCCCAACCAAGAACAAAACGTTAAGCTGCCAGCATTGTGTGATCAACTTTCTTTTATTCACTACAGTCAAACGGCTGGAAAATAAATTATGAAACTTCGACACAATCATCTTAAAAGACGCATGAATCTACTCCAAAAAAAATTCGTTTAATTGCTTTTTTTTTTTTGTTCTCAAAATAGATTCACATGTCCTACAATTGAAATATAAAGTAAAGTATCAAAATTCTCACAAAAAAAAACAAATAAATTATAACTAAGATCAGGGTAAAAATATAGAATAACATCGACGCTATCACCTATCGATCGAAATCTTGGCTTAATAAATTGGATGTGTCCTTCTTTCTTTCTTTTTTCTTTGGTTGAAATTTGATGTTCTTTGAATTCATTTTTTTTATTCAATTGCATTGGTGAATGTTATTGGAATTCAAATTATATCTATCGGTCATCTTGCTTGAATATTATGGCTTAATTTATGTTTCTTAGTTTCTTGGTTGGTTGCTTGGTTTGTTCCATTTTTTAAGCAAATCTCGACGGTACAAGAGAAATTTTATTGAATCAGAACAAGAAATTACACTAAGTTAAAAGGACATAAACCTTAGCTCATAATATAAAAAGAAATAATAAAGTAAAAATACAATGAAAGAGTAGGGGACATAAATTTAACTCTTCTTAAAAACAACAAATTTTCCGATATCCTTGATTCCTATCAGGGGCGGTTGGGACAGTCTTGCCGATATCCTTGATTCCTATGAGGTGCAGGTGGCTGCGGCCCATCAAATGATCTTAGGATGCGGCGAACGGGCACTACTTTCGTGCTCAAATATCACTTTGACATTCAAAGAAACCTTGTTCAATTATATGAGAAAATCACAAGAAGCAAGAAATTAGTTCCTAAATAATAAAATTGGTAAAAACTAAGTCGATTTACGTAGCTAATGCTAATGCTTGGAGATCCCACAAAAGGAAGATAATTATTGGTTATACCATGAGGAAGTAGTCCACAAATTGCTTGGAAATCCCCCATCAGAAGCAACACTAGTGTTGTAATTGCCACCAGCTTTGCTGAAGAACCATTCATCATCGGAAGCAGAAACAATAACCTCGAAACTCCTATCACCACAACGTGGAGATGAATGATAGTACAAAGGGAAAGCAAGATTTATAGACAAACTTGCTGGGGTTTGGACAATAATTTTGTGCTTCTGTTTCTTTCTTTTTTTTATTTGGTCAATATGTGCTTCTGTTTCTTATTGAACTTTCAAGGGATTGACCCCTAAGTCATCCGCTGATGTAAAATAAATGGCTAAATGAATCGAAGACGAAATGGACTGTTGAAAGATAAAAGGACACAGTGGGATTTTGCATATTCGAGCTTCGATTTAGGCCTGTGATAACTTTTCGAAAAAGAAACGGCGCCATGCGCCCAACACACTGCTTAGGCTGTGATGTATGATGGATTTTGGCTACTGAGGTCATTTCAGCCTTCGAAACAGCGTTTAAAGTTTTGTAATAAAAATTGGACTCTTCGTTTGTCATCTGATTAATGTTTAACTAATGTTGTTTTAATTATTAGAAGTCATTTGAGTTGTTCCGAACATTTGTAATGGTTATTTAAGTCATTTGGATGTATCAATGACAATCATTCAAGAATTAATCAAACAAAACCCTTTGGGATTTCTCTCAAATTTTCTGATGGATTCTAGATTTTGTTCTGCAATGAATTATGTTAGTAACCCTTTCATCGCTTTATGCTACGTCATCCACTCTTTTTATTTATTCTCTGCTATACAAGAGATTTTTCATTTGTTCATTAAAAATAGTGTAATTTTAAACAAGTAACAATTTTTTATTAAACTTAACGTCTTTGAAATTAAAGCTTGATTACAAACCAGAACTTCTATATACCATACACCTCAATTTAGTACAATCACCCATGTGTAGTGTGACAAGTAACCTGTCACAAATCGCGTAAGACTCCTCAATTGGAAGGTCGTATTTTGACCAATATGTCACTTGCATTAGGTGCCTCATTTTTCTTGGTTAATTACTTAATTATCTACGAGAATAAAGTCTTTTCTTAGTTAATTATCATCGAGAATAAAGTGAGAAAATAAATTAGTAACTATTGATGACGGTTGCTCATATGTAGGGCTCCATTTTGTGGCCGCTTCGGCCCCCAAATTTCAAGACTCCAGCCGCTGCCGCGGTACTGGAACAAAACTGCTTCTTTAATTTATTTTTTACGGGTGAAGGTGGAGATGAATGATACTGCAAAGGGAAGGCAAGACCTACAGCCTTTGACTTGACTTCTTTAATTTTTTTTTTTTTTTTTTTTACGGGTGAAGGTGGACATGAATGATAGTGCAAAGGGAAAGAAAAGATTTATAGGCTTTGATTTGACTTTGTTCCATGAACCTTGGTTCACGTTCTATTTTATTCTTTTAAGCTTTCTCGAGTCATTTTAACTAACTTGCAGGGGTTTGGACAAGAGTTTTTAATTGAATTTTCAAAAGGTTGACGACAAGTCTTTCCCCGTAGAATCGTGAATAATGGACCCTAGCTCTTATGATCATTTTCATAATTTCCTCATTGATTTAATTCGGAATCGTGAGTAATGGATTCTGGCTCCTATGATCATTTTCATATTTCCTTGATTAGTTTAATTCGGAATGTGATCGTTGATAATGGGTTCTGACTCCTATGATCATTTTCATAATTCCTTGATTAGTTTAATTTGGAATTGTAGATAATGGGTTTTGGCTCCTATGATCATTTTCATGATTCCCTGATTAGTTTAATTATTCCAACTCTTACATCTTTTCTCTGTTAATGCAATAGTTTCAATCTATTATGGATTGCGATGTGTGCTCAAATATGCGTTGGAACTAATATTGATACGAAATAATTGGACTCCTTATAAAAATGCAACGATAAATAATGAATTTGGAAAATTAATTATGGGTTGGTAGAAGAAAGGTTGCCAAAGGTTTTGTTTGGAAGTTGCACACAAACATCACATCAAAAGTTGGAAGCTTCGGAGCGTTACAAAAAAAAAAAAAAAAAAGTTGGAAGCATCGGGTTATCTCTCAAGTGAGAGTCTTTCTCTTTTGGAGAGTATTTCTCACCTCTTGTGTGAGGTGTGATACCCTGTCTTTAATTTTACGAATGTATTAATTTCAAAAGAATAAGTTGATGAAAATGCCTCTAACGGTGAGATTGTTGACTTCCGTTAACCATCATTTAGAGAGACGTATGACTCATTCTTTTAGCGTATTTGCGTAGTATTCGACGATACGAACACATGGACACAAACGGAATCGAATTCGGAGTTATGATGGAGATTTTATCGACTTACGAAGTCGAAGGATATTTTAGTAAATTCGCTATACTAGACAATTGGCCTAATTATTTAATTATTTTCCTTTCATATTTTTTTATGTGGGGGACCCACACACACACAACCTCTCCATCCTCTCTCTTGCCGCATCGTGCCAATTCCCCCAAAGGAACAGTTTGGTCCGCCATTCTTCTTTTTGTAGTCAGTATCAGTGCTTCAAGAGTTGGATACGTGATAGGATTGTCACGAGCATGTACAATACTTATAGTCATCTCAAATGCTGGTCCAAGATTATTCAACACAATTTGGACAACTTGTTCATCATTCACATGTTGTCTAGCAAAGGCGAGGTCCGCCACGGATAAATCACCCTTTTTAGTTTGCAACAACTCATTTTTCATAAACAAAATTCGATTTTGAGAGGTAGATGCATACATTTACTCAAGAGCTTCCCCAGGTTGCTAGAGCAGTTTGTTTGCTTGCCACCACAAATAAGACAAAAGCAGTCAGAGATCCATTTATCCAATTAAGGATCATTTGATCCTATTTGACCCAAGTAGTGTACGCAGGGTTAACAGTGGTCAAAACAGTAACATCTTTTAGGGGACACAGTAGCGTGCCATTGACATACCCCATTAGGTCCCTACTTTTTAGGATATGAAGGATTTGAGCCAACCACAGTGGGCAGTTGATCTTATCTAGTTTGATGTTAACGACAATGGATATAGGATATCAGGTGTTTTTTTTTTTTTTTTTTTTGGGGGGGGGGGGTGTGTGTTAGCAGTGGAGACATTGTTTTCAGCCATGGAAGCGATGATGGGAAGGATAATAGACTAGGATCTATGTCGTTAGACATAAAAAAAAAAAAAAAAGCTCTAGAAACCGTATAAAACTTAAGAACTCAGGTTTTCACTTTGATTACATACCCATTCAACTATAGGATGCTTGTATTTATGATTGCATCAAGATTACATTAGAGGGTTTGAAAACCATATTTACAAGGAACTTTGAAATTCAAAATATACAAAACATAAATCAAAAGATTAAGAATATTTGAAAAATACATCCTATAAATAAGGAAGACTAATAAGATGAAGTTTTAAACACAACTGAACTCCTTAAAGCATGTTGGCAGTAACTACCTTTTGACTTCGTCTATCAGTTGAAACTCTCTCTCTCTCTTATCTCTACTTCTCGTTCCAACTTTCTCCCTCTCTGGTGATAACTGAGGACCACCACCATCACCACTGCGCCGTGACAACCTTGACGAGCTACACTCCCAACTATCTTATCTCCATTTTTTCACACTCCCAACTGTTCGATCTACGTAAGCCTCTAGAATACTCAAAATCTTATAATTTGTCTTCGTGGTTCGATTATGAGTGTGCTTATGTGTTTTGCACAACAGAGTATCATAGAAATGAAGAGGGAAGACTTTTCCAGATTTTCGGCGACTAGACCCGCGAGTTGTAGGTGTTTTTCATCCACGACTAGTCCTCATGTTGGTAAATTCTTATTCTCATTTTCCTTAGCTTCATTTTGACATAAAGATTGTTGAAAATGGTTGAGTTTCGAAGCTAAACATAGCTCGAGAATTTTCCCGGCCAAAATCTCCAGTTTCTGGTGATTGCAGTGGCAATCGGCCGAGAAAAAATAAATAAATAAACCTAATCCATAAGCCGGCCCAATCCTTTGGCCCATTGACCCTAAACTGAGGATTTGGCCTGGCCCACTTTTAATGGATTTGGAATATTCCTTGTGTTGATTTTTAGAAAAAAATTTCGGAAATCCTCATAAGCCAATTTCGATGCCTTAAGTCCATTTTTGACATCTATTTAGTGAAATCCTGAAGTTTTAATGTAGTTGACCGGCTCGGCGTCTCGGTTGACTTTTTAGGGTTGACCATGGACATTTTCGTTAACTTTTACAAAATTTGCAGGGGACCCTTCTTAGCATATTTCGACGCTTTGATTCCAAATCCGCACTCTGTTTTCCCAAATTTGATCGTTTAAGTTGAGTTTTACTAATGGGTCCTGATATTATTCTTAGGTGCGATTACCATCAGAGACTCCGATTTTTCTAGTTCGAATGGCTGCGACCTCGCAAGTATATGTGAATGGGTCTTTTCTTTTATATAGTATATATATTATTTGAGTTTCCATACATAGATTAATAATGCATTTTCTAAGTGATGCCATAATTAAATTAACGTTATAAGAATTGTTGCGATGATTGAAATTGTGAGATTATTATGAATCCTACGGGATGCACATGTATGCATATTATTACAGGATGCCTTATTTATATTTACGGCAGTGAATAGTATTATGTCAACATAAATTACTGATTTACCACTGTATGATTTTGTTTACATTATCTTCTCATCGTTGCTACACCGGTATTAGTAGTCACTTGGGTCAGGGCCAGTCTTTCACGTGTATGTTCACATCGCACCGTAACTTACTTTGGATCCATTGTAGGTGCCAATCCTGTCCTAGATTACTACAAGCAATTAGCACCAGTCTTCATGCGATTGTAGTACTAGAGCGTATATCATTATTACACCCAGTCCTATTCATGTCAGAATATCTCTACATGAACTCATGTGTCAACATATGTAGATGAACACTCTATATGATATGTTTTTTATGTGAGATTAATTGATTTCCGAACATTAGGTGTTTATTTACGAATTATTGTGACTTATTAAAATTTTGAAATATTGCAGGCTACGGTAAGTACTTTCACACTATACGTAGTATGTATATTTGGAAACTATACATGTTTTATAGTGATGGGTTATTATGTTTTCAAAAAGGTTTTTTACAAAAGTTTATTTTTAGGCCGACTCACCCTTATTTTTCATCCCTCCAGGTTTTAGTAGTAGTTTCGTGTCAACGAGGATTTCTGGCAAACATTGTTATTGAATACTACTTCCAATGGTATAGTTCTTATCCTAATTTTACTGTACTTTACTTATACTCTGACATCACGTGTGAAATGAGTTCATTTCCACTCATAAGCGCACTCTTTCATTTAGGCACTTTTAGGTTTAAATTTACGCACATGTTCCACATCACAACACTCTATGGCTTCGTCACTCTCCTGGTGTCAGCCAGCATAACTCGATTCGGAGTCCAGGTGGACATTCCGGGTTAGGGTGTGTCACGAGGCCTCCAAATTTGAGCAAAACCATTAGCACCGACCCTAGCTTCAGTTGGGGTCTATCTGCCTTTATCAGCAGTGTCGTTCATGGATTTCCACGGACTTCATCTTGATAACTAACTTCTCTCGTTTGGTTGTTGGCTATCCTTACTTTATGGTTGTGCTCGGGAAGCAGATTGGAGTTGGATGTGGTGTTTGGTGAGGCGTTACTTGGCTATGGAAGAAGATTGGGACGGATCGAGAAGATCTATGGCGGCAGTGAAAGTAGTAGAAGTTTTTGGATTCTATGTCTGTGTTCTAGTTTATGGGCCTAACTATTTCTTGGCTCTTTTAATGTTTGTTTAGTTTTGGCCCATTTTTTGTTGTTTATATGTTAGTTTTGGGCCATGCTTGTATGTCAGGTTTTTGTTTTGTAATAAAAAGTCTTTTTACCAGAAAAAAAAATGTTTTGTTTGGAAATTAATTATGGAGTTTGACCTCTACTTCACCAGAAAATTTTGGGTGGTTTTTGTCCGACCATGTTATTTGTGCAATTGCTTTCACATGAAAGACAAAAGTGCTCCTGCTTCACAAGTTTACTCGCCTTACTTTCAAGGAAGGCATTGTCACCATGCATATTGGTGACATGATTTGTGAAGAATGTTGAGGTTCCACCATAAAATCAATTGGCAATATGGAGAATAGCTCAATTACTTATATGCACATGCAAGGTCCCTTCTGTCCCCATTGTGAATCATACTCTGAACAAACCCCCTCACTTGTGACTAATTTTCACGTCTAATAGGTGGACTACAAAAAATCAGTCATTTATACTCTCAACAATTCCCTTTACTTGTGGCGAATTTTCAAGTCTAACACGTGGACAATAAAAAATCGGATGACGTGGAGTGCGTGTGGCCATTAGGCTTCACACGTGAGAGAACCTGCTATGATATGATGAAGAAAGTTGAGGTTTCACCATACTAATTGGCAATATGAAGAGTAGCCCAATCACTTACAAGCACATTGAAGGTCTTTTTTTTTTTTTTCTCGATGTGGAATTCACTCTCTCAACAATTTGACTTTGAGTTTCAAGATTTGTAGAAAGACCCCAAAGACCAAATGGACTTGCAAATGAGGCCACAATTAGTTAAAACCTATATTCCCCTTGGCAACAATTGAGTTTCCGGATCTAACAAACATCATTTTCCGTCCGGTCCCCAACATGAACAATACATGTTAGTTTGCCAAGGAACATGAACAATACATGTTTGGTTTGCTAAGGATGGAATGGATATTTCATTTCACGATACAGCCTACTTAAATTTCATGATACAATCACATTTATTCTACGAGTTGTTTCATTTCAACTTTTCACATCAAGTATGTATGTATATGTGTGTGTGTTTATATATAAAAGCTAAGATAAAATAACCCACAGCATCGTGCAAGCAATTTTTACTAATATTTACTATGTTTTTTTCTTTCCTTTGAACATTAGTGGACAACAAATATACATGTCTTTTCAATTCATTGCTACTTCAACTTTAGTTGGTTGATTGAGATATTGAAAGAAACTAAAAAAGTTAACTATGTTAGTTGTATATTTCTAGGTCTCTCCCTTACTAAGAAAGTGTCATGGTCTTAGGTATAGACACCTAAAGAACTCGCATGAAAGATATGAAGAGTTCTCACCACACCAAAAATGGTTAACTGCGCACACAGCTTTTATCCAAGTTGGTATCTTCACCTTTTGAAGATGAAAACATAATTGATGAAAGAAAGAGTACCACTCCATATTGGCGTCCTTGAACAAGACCAAGACATTGAAGACGGGGAGGATGAATAGAAAAAAAAAAATACTACTTTGATGTTGATATCCCGAACAAGAGTTAACACATGAATGTTGTAGCGGATGATCGAGACGAGGCAACAATCAACAATCAACATGTGAAAAATCTTCCCACCACCTTCCGCCATGCGAAAACCAAGGAAGACATGTTAGTACCCAGTAAGTTTAACCTCTAAACGTTTGATATATTAAAGTGGAAATGTAAAGCCCTGTGATTTCTCTACAACATATGTAAATGCACAGTGCAATGCCAATACAGATCTAATCACAATATGATATTATTACCAGTAGGAATTAATGTAGAAGTTGCAGGAAAAACACCCACAAGAAGATATACTGCTACAACAGCTAAAACCAACTTTGCCCAAAAACAGCTCATACTGGAAAGCAAGAATCAAGAACTTGCCGCAGAAGCCCTAAAATACTGAAACCCTGAAAGCATTTATGGATTCTCTACCTCAGCTACATTGCCTTAAACCTAAATTGTATTCATTTTTGTTTTGTTCAAGTAATCATGGAGTTGGCATGAGTTCACTGTTCTTTGACTTCTATTTCGACTATAGATCTGTAGTCCGTGATGACTGCGAATGCATGAACCAAATTAACAAAAGAGTAGATTATATAGGTTGGTGATTCACAATGCTCCGTATATGCTTGATTAATATTTTTAGACATCCTTAATGTTGTAACTGCTATTTGCACAAGTTTAACTAAAGTTACGAAGTTGAATGAAAGCCAGAGGTTTCATATTTTGAGATAGACAGCTGGTTCTATCTTGTTGAACTCAACTGATTGCAAAACCGAAAACCAGAGATCAAAACAGCATTGTGTTAAGGGTTTGCTTAGCAAGTGGGTGAGCGGAAATTAAAGACCTTGTGATGAACAGAGCAGCAGCAGCTTGTGTTTAGACAATGTACCAATTCTTCAAACAATGAAGGAAAACATACCAATTTAGCCGCTAAATGGTGTCCACATATCGACATAACCCTCCAAGGAACGGTGCAGCATCTTCTTCCAAGCTCCAAGATCAGGCGGCATATCACCCGTAAGAACAAGGGAGCTATCTTCCTGTCGATTCCCAAGGCTCAACACAAAAAGCTTGTCGCCAAAAACCTGATGCATAGCCTTCAAAGTTTCTTCCATAACAATTTTCCCATCTCTCAGTGAGTCCTCAGCCTCCACACAGCTACCTCCTACATTGACCATTATTCTGCCGCCTTTTCTCAAACACTTTGTGAGCATCTTCCAAGTATTTGGATCCTGCAGCTCGGGAACCAAACTTCCTTTACTAAACAAATCCACCAAAATCCCTGAAAACCCGTCTCTCGTGCTGGCCTTGAAAGCATCTCCAACATGAATTACAAGCCTATCCGTGTATTGCCTCTCAAGTTTTGAGAGTCCAAAGTACTCTCTGCCCACAGCAATCACAGATGGGTCAAGCTCCCACCCATGAACCACAACTTCTGGGTACAGATCAAGAATCGACCTTGCCGCAGACCCTGCCCCGAACCCAAGAATGCCGATGGGTCCGGGAGGAATAATCGGCGGCAAGGTGGCGAAGACATCGAAGTAGGTGTTGGTGAGGGACTTGAAAATGAAAGAGATGCTGTGGATGTTTCCGGGGTTGTCGAGAAGGAGGAGTCTTGAGCCGGCGAACGGGTGGTCGGCCCTTTTTGATACCTCGAGGACCCGAATGTAGTTGTGCATGGACTTGAATTTGGCGAGGATCTTGACATCCTCGGCGGGGATGCCGTCGTCTTGGGTTTTGGTTTCCGGCGCGGGGTGGTGGGCGGGTTGGGATTGGGGCGTCGATGGGCGGAAGTGGATTGGTTTTGGAGGTGTTTTGGGAGAGAAATGGAGGTTTGGAGATGTGGGGTGGAAAGAGTTGGGGAATTTTTGAACTGGATAGGGAATTAACGGTCGAATTTGGTGGGTGTTTTGCAGGAGTGACATTGCTTTTTGCTCTGCGTGTAATCTTCTTCGCAATTCGCAGGGCGAAAAGCATAGAAAATGAAAAGGGCGCGTAAGATATTATATGTTGGAGGCTCCCTACATCCTGAAAGTCGTCGCAATATCTCAAACTAATAATGCGATGTTATTCTAAAACAAATGATATTACATTATTTATTTGTTGCAAAGCCTAGTTATTAGTAGCCCTACTAAATGGTGATTCCGAAGGCCACGATCCTTCAGAAAAATGGAACAAGTATCGACATGCCACAACGGCATACGAAAATTCACGTAAGTCATCTCCTTAAATGATACTTGTTATAAGAACTTACATAAGACGAGTATACTACAATTATAATGTCTCGTGCCAACATTACAATTGATGGAATTCAGTATTATACTTATGAACGCCTGTAAAGAAAACTTGTACAAAGCTTTGTATGATTGGTCAAGTAAATGACATAATTGGTACCACTACAGAGTTTTTTAACCATTAAATCTTGGTAATTTTATCTTTGACCAAGGATTAAGAGTTGGATAATACTAGGTAGACCAAAATTTTAAATTAAATTTGCAACCCAAATGATATGTCCCTAATAGAAAATAAGCACGTTAATCAACATTAAATAATAATCCAATCATCAACAATCATATTATCTGGTTTACAAAATTTAGTTTAAAAAATTGGTCTCTCGCATTGCCCTTAACGGTTAAAAGTTTCAGAGTACAGAAAATCACGATTCTGAGTTAAAGTAGAAGAATAGTACAACAATAGTAAACCTTTTCAACTATCTAATCAGAAGGTTGTATTTCACATTGTAAGTAATATTCGCCTGCTGCTATCAATGTAAATTCGGTATCACACATTGTAAAAGGCAGTAAATTCGGTATTACACAATGTAAATTCGGCATCACTGGCTGCTCTAATACGTAATACCTCACTAATTAATAGGATTCCTTCTACAAATTCTGTGGCATTAACAAACCTCACTCTGCTTAAACAACATCTCGCGTCGAGGTGATACAGGGGCATTACGACTAGAAGCTACAAAAACTCCATCCGCGTCAGCACGAAGTATGATGATGAAGATGATGTTTTTTATCTTCTTCCATCTCGTCTGCTTCATCCCTACATTAACAACCACATCTCTTGAACATTACAAGACGGGCAACAGTTAAAACGCACTTTATCCAACAATTAAATCGCATATTTATCAAGAGAAAAATCCTAAATACGGTTTTGATGCAAATCTTGCTGGGGTGATAACCATGAGGTCAGATTATTTTTTGTAATGGTTGACCAGAATTAAATTAACCTCCAAAAAGGGCAGTGTTAACTTGAAAGCAAAAAGAACCTAACCTACTGTATAATATACGAAAAGAAAAACCTTACTGCATCTCAGACTTAACAGCATGCTGACGAGCAGGGGTGGAGAATTTAGTCCAATGCTTGTCGTCTTCAGGATCAGAGTCATAATCCTCGCCATTCCAAATGCGAGGCTTTGGTCTTTCGTCCATTTTCTCTTCCGCCTGCATCCATTCAAACTCAGGTTATAAGAAACTAGGTGAATACATAAAATCCTAGAAAAAGTATCCAAATTAATTTGTCGCTCAAACGAACCTCCTCTGGAACTTCTCTAGTTGGTGGTGTTGTCTGGAAAGGAACACTGGGTGTATGAGGTATGCGAGTAAGTTGCTCTAGCAGTGCATTCCTGGGAGAAAAAAAAAAAAGTAAACAATAAATAAAACTTATATGATGAGAGAGGGATGACAGAGTTCACTGCTAGTTAAATATACAATCCAGCATTCTCAATAAATGCTCGTAGTTGAACTTTCCATTGCACCAGGCAAATAGCACAAATGTTGAAACACGTTAAATCATATGATCTGCGATACCAATTACAAACAATAAACAGCATGCTGAACTTAAAATTCCAATATCTGACGGGTCCACTGTAATTATGTGATGTCCTGAATACTTCTGGAAGCGAAGCTAAGCTTGTGGAGCTCAAAACGCCAACATATTTTCAAATAGAAGCAAATTAAGGATGAGCTACTTCCTTTTTACAATATGTTATGAGATCTCTGTTCAATAATTTAAGCATGGTTGGGGACTAGTATGATGCAGCTGAGATTATTGGTGTCAGCAATGACGAAATAAAATTTCTAGCTTAAAAGTAAACTGCAGTACAATGCAATCCACTAGCACCAACTTGTGACTGTCACAAGTAATGAAGCAACAAACACACCTTATTTTCTCCAGATCTTTGGGTGTGTTTAGATTCTCCATGTTGGACGGGGCAATATGAAGAGTGTAATCTGGCCCAAAATACTCATAGTATTCATTGTAAGGCAACTTATTATCAGGCTCCACATCAACCGCCACTGCTGTCTGTTTCAAAGTAATGGATGCAATCATAAGGACATTACATCATATGATAGTTGTTCAATTAAAAGAAACGGGAAACACAGATATACGATGTTACAGTGATTGCCAAAATAAAGAGGAAGGCATTAGAGATAAACCTCATAACACCAGCAACGAGCCACATTACGGATTGTATAACCTCCACCACCCAAGACCATCAGAGGAACATTAAAAGATCTCAGGAAACGAAGACAATCCGCATGGCCCTTGACAGACAAGTTGAAGCACCCCAACCTATCACCAGACAAAGAATCCGCTCCACACTGAAGAACAACTGCGTCTGGCTGATACATCTCCATGACTTTCTGGATGACGGGCCTAAACAGACTACGGAAACTCTCATCATCCATCCCATCATTTAGCGGGACATTCAAAGCATAGTTCTTCCCAGTCCCAACCCCAACATCTTTAATGTGCCCAGTGCCAGGAAAGAAATCCCCGAACTTATGGAAGGACACAGTCATGACCCTGTCAGTGGTGTAAAATGCCTCCTCAACTCCATCTCCATGGTGCACATCAATGTCTACATAAAGCACACGCTGCGCAGTGACGATCACATAAGTAATTCATTAAGCAATCGAAAACAATGACTACAAACACGATATAACAAATGAACAGAACAAACATTGGGCCTAGACCAGACGTACAACCCGAATAAAAGGCGGATACTCTCACGAGTAGATTTTACTCCGTTCGAAATTTCATTGGATTCAACTTTACGAAACTTCGAATTACTTGCTCCCGGTTAAGTGCAAGAAAGCATAAAATTCATATAGTTTGGTAACTAAAAATTGGTCAATGCAAGTAAAATACGCAGCAAAGAAGCATCAAGAAACCTAAATTTGTAGGTAAGCTAATCGAGTTCCGAATAAAAACATTAGTTCAATTCAAAAATTAATAATTTAATTACAAAAAGAAATAAAGAAGTCGTTTTGTAATTACCCTGTGAACCTTGAGGAGCTCAAGAATGCCGAGCACGATATCATTGACATAGCAGAATCCAGAAGCCTCGGCCTTCTTGGCGTGGTGAAGCCCACCGGCCCAGTTGAGAGCGATGTCCGCGTCCTGGCGGTTGAGCTTGACGGCGGCGCCGATTGAGCCGCCAGCGGAGGCCTGGCAGAAACCGAAGAGGCCGTCAAATACGGGGCAGTCCTCACCGACGTTGAAGCGCTTGAGGTGGCGGGAGTGGACGGAATCGGCGAGGGTCTCGGGGGTGACGGAGGCGAGGAAGTCGACGTAGTCGTCGGCGTGGAAGCGGCGGATGTCGATGGGCCCGGCGGGGAAGGGGCGGTTGATCTCCATCCGACGGTGGAGGCCGTAGTGGACGACTAAGTTGTGGGCCATGCGGATTCGGTGGGGCTTCATCGGGTGGCCTTGGCCATAGTAGTAATCGCCGACGGTGGGCTCGTAGAAGTAGCTCACTCGCCGTTTCTTCGCGTCTGGGCCTGACGGCAGTGACGCTCCGCCTTCTGAGTTCATCTCTCTCTCCTTCCCTTCTCCCTCCTCTCTCTCTCTCTCTCTCTCTCTCTCTCTCGACTCGAATGGTGTGTGTGTTTGGGGGGCCGAAATTATAAGTGAGCGACGTATACGACGAGTCGTCTTGTTCAGAAAAGTAAGCGATGAAGAAGAAGAAGAAGAAGCGGGTCGTGGGTAGCAAAAAGCCCAATGGCCCTTAACTTGTTTCGCTTGCATCTGTAATTGCCTCTAAAGTGGCCGGTGTTGGCCCAATCTTTTTGGTGAAAAGCCCAATCTTGTTTTCACAGGCAAAAGGATCTACGGCGTGATTGGAATTGGTTCTACAAGTGCAAATATTGGTTCTAATTGTGTTTGGCAAAGACAAGTTAGAAGTGCTTGTGTGATAGAAGTGTTTTAGAGTAGTACATGTTAGATACTTTTTTGGAAAGCACTTTCACGTACTTTTTATCAAGAAATTGAATTTCTAATAAAGGACTTCAATGTGTTCCTAATGAAAGTATTTCTATCATAAGCATTCATAAAAATAAATAAAATTTAAAATAAAAAAAAGTGCTTCTTAGAGAAGCAATTCGAAACGGGTTAAATTTCTAAAGGGATTTATAGTGCGGTTGGTTAAGAATAGTCACCCTTACGATCTCAAGATCAATTAGTTCTCTTTCAATATCGCTTGTATACAATTTAAGGTTTATGTATCCATTATTGAAGATTAGCCATCTTGAATGAACAAAGCTACTAGGGTCAGTTAGTTCAGTTGTGAAGGTAGGTATGTAGGAGTAAGTTAGTCCCTTATAACAAAAAAATAAAATAATATCAAATCTCTTTTTTTTTTCTTTCAGCAACAAAAATTTTAGGAGCAAATTGGCTACATTCACCACCAGCGCCAGGGGCATCCCACAACTTCAAGCGAGAAGGATTTACATGTGGCACCTAATTGTCAACTGTCACCGGTGTGGATTTACGTAAGAATTTACAGATCGTACACTAACGAAAAACTGCTGGCAAGGAGATCAAATATAGATTGAAGGTTAATCACAATAATGCCCTTACTAACTAAACCAACCCTTGTTGGCAATCAGAAGTCAAATATCATATATTGTCATTGTACATAATTTGCAGATGAGGACATGCATGTGATATACAATATGGAATGGTTTTTAAAAATGTTAGCCGAACCCGGCTCAAAAGCGAGTCTAACAGACAAAGTTATGTTGGGCTCACTTTTTAGCGTGTTCTGCTGGTGTTCTTCTTGGGTTAAATAAAATCAAACTAGAGAACCCCAAGAGGAAAAAGATTTGGCATGTCCTCCTCCACTACTTGTGTCTTAAAGTAATGAGACACCAATGATAAGGCAAATGTGGTTCCGATACATCTTTGGCTCAGTCCGTACGGTGGCAATAAAGGATGAAGGATATATGTTTCAGCCAATCCAAATGAAAAATGTGGAGGGCCCTCTCTCCAATTAAGTTGGGCAACCCCCACGCTGCTCGTGTATTTATTTACTAGTATCAAAGTTTGATTGGGATACAGAGATAGAGATGGTAAATTTTGTTTTTTTTTTAGCGAATGATATAATATACACTAAGAGGGAGGGAGGTGTGCTTAACTTTATAATGAGCTGACAATAATGTGATTCAAATATTCGAGATAGAAGAAGAAAAGAAATGCATATGACGTGATACATTGCAATTACAATTGGGTTCCTCAAGTTCTTAAAGCACGCATACCCTTCGGCTAGTAGCGGATTTAAGATTTGAAATTTGTGGGGTTCCAATAATAAGGGTGAAAAAGTTTATAGATAAAAATAACATTGAAAGTTAAATGATAATACATTTCATTCATTTATCATACTCAAAATAACATTACAAGCTAAAAAATCCTAACTAAGTCGTCCATGATGAGGTTTTATAGTGTGAAAATGTTCCATGATAGCTTCATTGAAAAACCATCTTTCTCAATGTAAACAAATAAATTACCACTCAACTATTAATCTCTCATTTTGTTGCAGAGTGAACCCTTAATGTTATTCATAGCAAAAAAATATTCCCTCCGCTGAAGGGATTGCAACTATAGATCCACCAATGCCTTCAGCTTCTCTCTTCCCACTTCCCCCTCTCTGCCTTCGCCTCCCACCCCGACCGTGCCAGCGTCTCATTTGCCCCCTTGCGCCATTTTCACCAGGCTCTATGTGCTCACCAAGTTCTTTTGATAAGCTTTTAGATTTGTGCCGGAAGGAGCTTAGGTCATTGCGGTTTGATCGTCGCCCGCCTCAACTCCAAAATCGGCACCAGAGTAAAAGACAAAAAATTGTTCACCTGAAATCGGCAGCGTGCGTGAGTCGATGGAGTAAAAAAGAAATGAGTCGCATACTCTTAGTATCTCAAATAGATTTTTTTTAAATTACAAAATTAACCCTCTTTAATGGGTAGTTATGAGTTTCGTGGGTTCACCCAAAATCACATGTTAACTAATGGGTTGCTAGTGAATTCGCCCATAATCAACTTATTAAGTGTCCACCCGTTAATTGAAATTTTACGAACAAATTATGTTGTGTTAATGAGTTAGATCCACTAAATAACGGAGGTATAGAATGTCATCGACCCTAAACTAAAAGGGTTGTCACATCATAATCGATATCTTAACTGATTGTAATATAATGAAATTACGGGTGGGAAGAAAATGAGTTAGAATGTGACAAAGCAAGATGAAATTGTCAATTAATAACTTAATCTAAGGGGCAAGCATCTTTTTATCGTTGACAATGTTACAAAAGTATACATGACCTAATCATTTAATTTTAAAGATAATGAAAGCACAACACACTTTAGAAAATGTGGGATTACCAAGATAATGAAAGCATAAAACACTTTTTATGTCATGAATTTAAGCGACAAGGCAAGTTTAATCTACTGTGTCAAAATATTTGCAAGGATTAATATGTAGATTACAGGTAATGTCCAGTCTAAATTTCACTTTGTAAATGTAATCTATATATAAAAAGAAGAGAGTACTCTTTACCGAAAATAAAAGAGTGCTAACAACTTTTTCACTAACTAATTTTGCATTTGACAAGTTGTGAAATTCATGAGATTTGTTACTACTTAATTTGACAAAATAATAATAATAATAAAGAGATTTGTTAACACCGGTAATATTTATTCATATGGTGTGTTTTTTTTTTTAACAAGAAACAATAGATTGATATTTCATTGATCATCCAAACATATTACAAAGGTGTTAATTGGTTACATTGCTTCAGTGATCAAGAAAATGATCTTGAGTGAATTTTCTTAAATAGACAATTATAGTAAACCCCTAACAACTACCACATGGACAAAAACTACAAACGCCACTCATACCAAATTGTCACAAAACAATAGACGTACAAATATGTATAGGTGACTATAATAGGTCATCGAAGAATAACGCGGCCACATAAAATTATTACGTAGGAGCAGAACCACATAAAGTTATCGTTGATAGACAATACCACTTATAGTGTTACAATAACTTAGACAACATAAAATTTAAAGTAAAAATTAAAAGTGTCAACTAATCATGCTTGAACTAGTTTCTTGGCATGTGTGGCTTAATTTAAACCAAGAAACTTAGTCCTATTTCCAAATATTATAACTTCCTATATGCATGCCACCATGTATATTTGTCCTATAATTTGAGCAAGCTGAAGCAAATTTAATTAGTTAGAGGAGAAGCATGTGGAACACGCCAAAGGTGCTAATTAGAATATAATATTGGTGTCAAATCAAAATTTTGGTTATCAATTGGGGACATGAAATTTTAATCAGGGTTATCCCCTTAGCTTTGTGATTGGGACATGGAGGGTGTTTCTTCTCAAGGCACTCTAATTGCAACTTTTGACTTGATTTATAGTGGGGATGGGTTCATGGGTCGTGGGTAGACTCAAGCTAGCGGGTCCAAGGAATCTTAAGCCACTATACATCTCATTAATAGAGAAGGGTGTGTTGAGAGTGAATCTCACATTAAAGAATAAGAGAGACATTGCATATGTTTAGAAGAGATTGGGCTACTTCTTCATAGTGCTAATTCATTTTATGATAGAATTTCAATTTTCTTCATGGTATCAGAGCAAATTGTCCCACGTGTGAAGCCAAACAAACACACATGCTACATGTGACCTAATTTGTGTTGTCCACGTATTAGGCTTGAAAATTCGTCACATGTGAGGAGCATGTTGAGAGTAAATCCTACATCAAGGAAATGAAGGATCATGCATGTGCTTATAAGAGATTAGACTACTTCCTATATTGCTAATTAATTTTATAGTGGAATCTCAACTTTCTTCACGTAAGAAGTAAAAAGAAGTATGTAAATATAAAAAAGATTGAAACTTGAAACACATCACTAACCCCAAATTAAAGTTAACTACATCACAATTATGTGATTAGATATAGTCCACTAAAACAACATGGCACGATGAGAAAGGACCATCATATCTATATAAACTGTATTTTTTTTTTAATTCTCCTGCAATAATCTTAATTGTACATGCATTGAGTGTTAAAACTAGGCAAGTTAGCGATTTTATTTCGCAATGATGGTAATATCATCTTGGAGTTTTTATATATAATTTTATTAAAAATTCAAGTGCTTTATGTATATTTGCTTAACAATGTTTATATTTTCGTAACAATGTTTTATATGCAAAGGAAATGAGAGTCTTTCTCTTTGTGTGAGAGGTTTTTTCAATTTGTGAGTGAGTGCTTCCAATTTCGATAAATCGTCCGGCCGTCGGCCCTAGCAATGCCCATGACCGATGGCAGCCCCTTTCCCTTTTCTTCGTCCTATTTTTCTCCTATGTTGTTCTTTGTTTTCCTGCCCATTTTTCCCTGTTATCCACCCCCTTGTGCCTCTGATTTAACCGGCCTTTGCCCCGAATCGAAAAGTTTCTCTTCCAATATATTTTTTTTCTTTTTCCCGCTATCTTTCCACCTCCATGCAACTACTCAAACCATTTTCTTTCTCTCCGGCTTGGCTTCACCCTTTCTCCGTTCCACTATTGCTTTGATATGCAACCATTTTGTTCCGTCGTGTTTCACAGCAT